TTTCTTATACCGATTTTAACCCTTAATTTTAATGAAATTACAAAATTACCTATCCCTCTCATCAAATTTCCCTTGTTATTTGAACCGATCGGTTCATCGGTTGAACTGATTGAACCGATCAAACCGAAAACCGAACCTGAAAACGGTTCAATGACCGGTTTGGTTTTAAAAACCTTGCTTAAAAGGTTCTCTTTTGCATTCATCTCCACATTTCGACAAGAATGTGTGGAATTTGGGATCTTTAATTTGTTTCCTTAAACTTACTGTTGTTTTGAAAATATAAAGAAAGAACAAATAATAAATTGATAGTTCTGTTTCTTCTTCTTCTTCTTCTCTTTTTTTATTTTTTTTTTATTTTTTATTTTTTAAGTAAAATACACTCCTAATGCTTATCAAGATTGTTTAACAATTAAATACTTTGTTAATTGTAATTATTATTTTGGCTACCATAATAAAACTTTATTGATAACTAAAACTTCACTTATAAGTTACAAGAATTGAAAAAGAAATACAAAACAATTAAATAAAAACAGTCTCTAAACCAACAAGTAGAGAAAATACTTACTTGCTCAAAAACACTCCAGTTTCTCTCACAACCAGCAGCACTACAAGTTAAACTCAAAATTCGAATGGCCAACCTCATCAACTCTGGAGTTTCCATTCCATACGAACTCCACCATTGAGCTTCAAGACATAAGCAAGGCAAGCAAATCATCATTATGAGAATGATTAATTCACAAATAATACATAAATTTCTTTCAAAAAAACAAGAACTAACAAATCAAAATTAGAAAAAAAAAATAAGTACCTAACTTTCTACATTTTGCTTACCAGGTGCTCTTTTACTCCTGGATCGCACTGCCATGGGATCAGCAAACATCCCCTCAGCTTCTTTGTACAAGTGCAATTAATCTATGATTTTGTCTTGATCATCATGATTTGGAATTAACTTTTCAATACAATCATATAACCCCCTCACAATCTCTTTATTTGTTGCAATGCTTAGGTCATTATAAAAGAATTGAGGGTTCAAAAAATGACCAGCAGCATGCAAAGGATGATGAAGCTGATTTTCCCATCTCTTATCTATAAGAGAAAATACATTCTTATACTTTTCTTCATTCCCATCAAAGGCCTTTTGAATGGCTTCCTTGGCCCTATCCATTGCTTCATAGATATAACCCATTGCTGGTTTTTTTTCATTATCAACTAGGCGAAGAACACCCACTAAAGGACCCATAACTTTAAGGGCATACACAATCTCATTCCAAAAAGAAGGCATCAAGATAACATCAGTAGCCCTCTTACCCTTAGCTTCTTTGTAAAACTTGCTTTTCATCCACTCATCTGATGTGAACATTTTTCTAAGGTTAAGCTTTTGCTTGTAAACCCTTTCCAAAGTAAGATAGGTTGTAGCAAACCTAGTGACCCCATACCTAACTAATTCTTTCTTTTTTGTGAGAGTTCTCATCAAACTTAAGGCAGAGGTGTGGTTGTATATAAACCCCACTAGAAAAATGGCTCTCTCTAAGGTTCTTTTTATATTTGGCAGCTTTCCAATATCCTCTAAAATGAGATCCACACAATGGGCTACACATGGAGTCCAAAACAAATTCTTTATTTTAGCTTGTAGCAATTTGCTCGCCAAGACATAATTGCTGCCATTGTTAGTGACCACTTGAATGACATTTTTCTCTCCAATTCTCTCCACAAAAGCATCAAGTAACTCATACAATCTATCCCCTGTTTTCATGTAAGAAGATGCATCAACAGATTCTACAAACATTGTGCCTGCTGGATAGTTCACCAAGAAGTTAATTATACTTCTTTGTCTTCTATTTGTCCAACCATCAGACATAATTGAGCAACCATACTTTGCCCATTTCTTCTTGTGATTCTCTAGCATATCATTTGTAAGCTGCAATTCCTTTTTCAACAATGGAACTCGCAACTCATGATAGCTAGGAGGTTTTAAATTTGGACCATACCTCCCAATAGCTTCTACCATATATTTGAAGCTATCTAAACGTGATACATTAAATGGGATCCCAGCTTGATAAAAAAATCTAGTTATATACTGGACAGTCCTAGCTCTTGCTTCTAGATCACTATCTTTTATACTCATTTGCCTCATTTTGCTTTCTTTTCTTTTCTGAACTATAGTTTCTGGTTTCCTCAAAAACAAATCCATCGGGCCTTTGGTTTTCTTCCCACTACCCTGCATTCCAGCCCCAGATTTTGCAGTCAACAATCGTTTACCACTTGCATTAAACTCAACTAACTCAACCTCATCCAAATCATCATCACCGATTCTACAATCTTCTAAATAATTAAACATCTGAAAAGAACCTGAGGAGCCGGTGGATTTTTGAGACTTCTTCTCGTTGTAATAATTCCACAGCTCTTCCTTAACCTCTTGTGGGACTTTTGGACAAACTGTAGCATTACCCAAGTGCCCCATCTGATGTTGCTTTGCTCGATTGATTCCCCCAGTAGTTGTTTTATTACAAAAATTGCAGGTAATATAATTGGGTTTACTAGGATCCTTCAAAGAATTGTATTTCCAACCAGGATCTTTCTTATTACTGGACCTAGATGAAGTTGTTTCCATTTGCAAAAGGAAACACAGCAAGTGCAGAAGCAGGGGAAAAAACAGAGCAAAAAAAGATGAAAAAAAAGAAAGAACGTTGGAACTTGGAAGGAATGAGAGAATCAAACTTGAAGAAAGCAAAAAAGAAGAGAAGAAAATGTGGATCTTTCTTGTCACAGGGTCGATCTTGAAGAAAGATGCTGAATCTTGAAGGAAGAAGAAGAAGAAGAAGAAGAAGAAGAAGAAGAAGAAGAAGAAG